AATTTCTGCAAGCGGTCCGCAATAAATTAGCGAACTATTTTCCCGATGCCCGCCACGTCTTACAGTCACGACGTCTATCGATTTCACACGCCGGCTATGATAAGAGGTAGCCGTTGGATGAATAGTGATCGAAACGACACGTACTGGGTACGTACGATGTTTCGAACGTCGTGACCACCACGAGGGGAATCACTACGGGCCCGAGTAACGGCAGGGACTTTCATGCATACGGGTCTCAGAGTTGGATACACCACATTGCTGACAAAGTGGAGCACTGTCAAAGCCTGCCATAAACTACATTACTTTTAAAAAACCACTTTGCAAGGCGGATTAATAAAGGTCGTTTCACGCTGCCGCACTGACCGCACAGACTGCAGCAGCCGCGGCGCCGCTGCAATGGAGTGTGGAAGTTCAATGAATTGCTGTGCAAGTTTGGTTTTCCTTATCTCTAGAAGTAGCATCCATTCATAATCGGTGTATTTGCTATAAATGAGTATAATTTATTAAAAACTGCGTTAACTCTTTTTCTGTGGCGATGACATCAAGCTTTTCATTTGAGCAAGGTTGTGGTGTTATCTACTAAGTCTTCCGTTTCAAGCCGCTCTTCAGTAGAGTTGCTAGCGTTTGGAGGTCTGCAAAACTTTTCTGAAAATTCTCATGCTTCACAACTTTGTAGTATGTTAGTTAGATTATGTGTCTAGCACCATAACTTCATATCCTCCTACACTCCTTCACTCAACTCAAAGCACCAAGCTATGCACCATTTATTTGAAATTGGGAGTCAAAACCAGAGGCCGTATTCATCATTGCTACCCGAGGTAAAATGAACCTTGAGGTAAAATGTACCTCAAGGTACGCTCTATCTTAAGGCTGTTTCGTATTCATCAAAGTACCTCAAGGTTAATTCTATAGTGTGGACCCCGGCCAGGTTCCCATAGGTACTTCCGCGGCGCGCATGCAGCGCGCGCCCTTCTTAATGCTTCTCGCCTCACCCATGAGCAGTAGAGCACATTTATGCTCATAAAAGAGAAAAATGTAAAGTGGAAACCTCTAGGTTCACTTCGAAAGAGACGTATGCAACACGAAATGCAGGCAGCCTCCATGAGTACCTCAAATTACAATCAATGGATGCATATTCCGAACTTGCATTGATGGATAGGTTGTAGTATACGTAGAGAAATTAAAGAACAAAAGCATTCTTAAAACATTTCTCTTCGTAGACGTAGAAACTAGAGTGGTCAAAAATTTCAAAAAAGTGGACATTTTCGTGAACAAATGCCTATTGGCTTCTCGGAAGGCTCAATTTTAACTTGAGACATTGTCTACATCTTACACATCAAACCAAAAGGGACTCTCATTTCATACAAAAAGCTTTTGAAGGAATATTATCTTAATATCCAATCAAATCTCAATTTTTCAGAGAAAAAAGGGAAAACACAAGACTACTACACAAAACTGAAGCTCTTAGAACTACTAGAGCACGTGAAATCTCGTCACCAGTCATCGCGATTTGTTTATACCGGAAATAGAGAGAATATAGTACGCCAAAAACAAAAAAAGAGAGAGAAAGGAGGATTCCCATCAGAGGCTAGGACAGGAGACGCACTGAAGGCGTGCGTTGCGGGTGCGTCGCGTAAGTATCTATGGGAAGCCGGCCGGTGTCCACACTATACCTCAGCTTGCATAATGTGCGGTGACACTCATTCAGGGCTTGCCATAACTCTCAGCGGTGTGTAAAGTTCATCATTGTAAATCCCTCTTTTCTACTTTCGTTTGTGGGTATATAAATTTTAGGACCGTTCGCACGCAATGCTCGCTTTGCGTATGTTGCGCTGCTGGAGGAACGGATGAGAAAGGCAAAGAGAACCACTAGGTAATAAAGAGCCTGGTACTCTTAAAAGACATATCAATCACGTTTTTTGGAGTTTATCCCAAGGGCAGCGCGCATGCAGCACGGACCCTTAACCCCCCTCCCCTTCCCTTCCCTTAACGTAGGGAATTGTTACAAACTGAGTGCGAAGCTACGTGAACGCCATGATCTTTCTCCTTCAGCGAAAGCAAAATTTTAAAGATTATCTACCAAAATCAGCTATACCAAATTCAAAACTAACGATTGTCGTAATGGCACAAACGTGCCAGCTCAGACGTTGGAAGCAGACGAGCTGTGGCCCTCAATTATTACTGCGATTTACAAATTGTGGGCTGACAGGGAAGGAATTATAGTAAACTTCGGTGATCCGGTGTCAGCCGCCGATCTATTAGGTTGTCCGGAAATTAATGCCCGTTTAGATTTCAACCGCAATAAGTCATACACTTCTCATCTCTAAATAGGTTGCAAAGTTCCATTCGATAGAGCAAAGCAAGCTCTACAAGATGGCCTTCTTGCTTTTGCAACAGCTCTCATCCACCTCGAGTTTCGAGCCAAAAACTAAAAAGTCTCAGCAGCCCAAAAAATCGAAAAAAATTGTAACTCAGTTCATAAAAATCCTACAAAAAATTCTTACTTGCTCACGTAAACACTACCCACATAAAACATCTAAATACGCCTTTGCTGCATTTTTTCTCTGTTAGAAATCAAGAAAAGGAAAATTTTCGTGCATTTGCCAAAGTGGTGCTGTGCCGTCCCCACATAGGTAGTTGTATACTACAAACTTGTAGAAGTATAAACGTAAATTCTCAGCCCTCTACAAGAATTAGTTCTCGAGAAATTTGGATTTTAGCTCGTACCATCTAATTAGGGAAAGCTATATTCGGGATTTCTCGAGAACTGAAGCTTGTACAAAGCTGAAAATTTGAGTCTGTACTTCTATAGGCTTGTGGTATACAACTACCTATGTGAGGACGGCACAGCATCACTTTGGCAAAATGCACAAAAATTTCCGTTTTCTTGGTTTCTAACAGAGGAAAAATACGGCAAAGGCGTATATAAATGTCTTATGTGGATAGTATTTACGTGAGCGAGTAAGAATTTTTGTAAGATTTTTGTGAACGGAGTTACGATTTTTTCCGATTTTTTCGGGCTGCTGAGTTTTTTTAGTTTTTGGCTCGAAACTCGAGGTGGATGAGAGCTGTCGCAAAGGCAAGATGACCTTCTTGTAGAGCTTGCTTTGCTCTATCTAGTGTTATTTTGCCAACCTACTTAGAAATGAGAAGTGTATGACTTATTGCGGTTCAAATACAAAACGGGCATTAATTTCCGGACAACCTAATACTTAGAAGCAGATATTTTTCCCGGATAGAGTCTTAAAACCTAGAATTGTTGAATATGTGGACCTTATCCTCTCCAATTCACCAACTGTAGCCTTTCACACTCTGAAGACATAAGTATCCTCGCGTAAATTCCATGCAGATATGAAAAAAAGCAATTCACTGCGAGTACGCCATGGCCTTCTCTGAAAAAACGTCAATGTTTATCATGCTGGCACAGGTTATTTTAACCTTGAGAGATAAATTTCAATGAATACGAAATTATACCTTGAGGTAGATTGTACCTTGAGGTAGCTTCTCAAGGTAACTTATATTGCAGTAGTACTCTGCGTTGATACCACTGCTT